TGCAAAGGTGACAACTGCCCACGTGAGCCGAGCCAGAAGCCACCAGCTGCACCGCAGAGCTGCCGGTCACCTCAGGCTGCACCACCCTGGCACACGAGCTGTCCCCACAGCAGGACACGTTGTCCCACGGACACGTGCCCTGCGGCGCCCGACGCGGTGCTGCCCACGTGGCCCTGCGAGCTGAGGTCTGTGTCAAAACCGCGGCCGCGTTTCCCGCGGCCTGGCGCGAGCCCTGACTTGGCTGTGGACAAGAATGGGCTGCAAAACGAGGAGAACGGACAAGAATGGGCTGCAAAACCAAGCAAATGGCTACTGCTGAAAACTCCGAGTTCTCCCAAATTCACCATTAGCAGTGACAAGCCCCTGACTAGTCTGTTTCCATGCAATTTCAAGGCCAGTAGCAACCACACCATCATTACACGAGAGGCCAAAACCCTCTATTTTACTCAGTCTTCTATTTTCTTCCTGTCTAAAAAGCCTAAGTATTTGGCTCACCCAGTAAAACAGATGCAGGTCGAGCTCGCACAGCTGTCAGGTAACGAGCTTCTCTGTGCATCAGGCTGCACTGCTACATTTTAATGTACAAGTGTTTCCTGCATGCGACAGTGGCAAGCAAACTGAACTGGGCTATATGTACATATGCTATATATATATATATTTATTGGTTTGACACATAAACATCAGGGCTGTCATTGCTGAAGTAAATAAGCCCTCGCTCAAATGCAGAACCTCCCACCCTGAGAGCAACCAATGGCTGCCGACCCACGACCTTCCTGAAACATCATCCGGAGAGTCCTGTGTGCCCCGGCATTCCCCAAGGGCTGCATCCTGCCGGCTGCCGCCCGCCTGGCGCTGGAATTAAACCGAGAGAGGGGGGGAATACCAAACCCCACGGGCGGGCAGCCCCGCTTTGCGGCGTGCACCCCGAGCCTGCGCCCCGCGCGCCCGGCCGCGCTGTGAGGCGGATGCGATCACGCTCCGGAGCGACGTGCGGCGAGAGCGGAGCGACTCCGCAGAGGGAAGCCAGAGGCAGGGGCGAGGGATGCCGAGGGCTGGGGGGGCCGGAGCGACGCAGCCTACCTGCAGGGGCCGAGCGGATCATCCATGACGGCCACGGGCTCCGGCAGGCTCCTGCCACCGCTGCTCCACAGCTCCAGCCCGGCCCTTTCCACTCTCCCCGCTCAAAATGGAGGCGTGCGCAGGCCGGGAGAGCCGCCGCGGGGCTTGTGCCGCGGCCTAAGCCCGCACGCCGAGCGCACAAACTTCGCCCTCGGCCCGGCGCCACTGAGCATGTGCTGTGACCCTCCCTCCGCACGCGCGGCTCCGCTCGCTCCCGCCGCCGACGAGCGGCCGCTTCCGTAAATAGGGCGCGCGGAGCGGAGCAGAGCGGGGCCTCCGCCGGGGGAGCGGCACGGCCGACACGGAGCCCAGCGCCGCCGCCACGGCGCCCCATTCCAAGCGGAACGCGGCCGCGACGACAGGAGAAGCTTCCCCCCCGCGCCCCGCCTGGCTCCTGCTTGCTAAAGAGAACCAAAATCGGCGTGCAGGCTTCCCAGATCCCAGCGCTGCACGTTTACTGCACTGCAATCCACCTGCATATAAACCAAGGCACTTGCAGGATCTCAGAATATTTATTTCAGCTTGCACCAGGGGGATGTTCAAGGGAAAGTCACTGCCGGGCAGTGCTGGGGACTGGGCCCAGCCCAGCGGCCCCACTGTCTCCTTCCCCACGGCTGCTCCTCTTGGTCAGCAAAGTGGCTTGGAGCCAATTCTTTGCTGGTTACGGAGCAAGGGTAAAATCTGCTCCTGCTCCAGCATAAAAGGCTTTGGGGAGAAAAAACCTGACCCCACTTGGAGAATGCATGTCAAAAAATCTAATAAAAATACTCAGAAAATAAAAAGAAAAAAAATTCATAAAACAGAACACTTTCCCACTTCTCGACCCTTCAGCAGAATCACCCACATGAACGTGGAAATAAATTCCTCAGCTTTTATGCTACAGATCAGACATGAGCTGTGATGTGGAGTCATGCGGCCAAATGAGAACCCCAGGAGTTCGAGATCTGTTTCTCTAAATCCAGTTTCGTGTGGATTTTTATCTAATTATTAAAATACTAGGCAACTACTCCATTTCTCATAAAGCAGGGGCTCTCATCCAGCCACTTGTGAAACCCAAAGATTTTGCCTTTCAAGGATTTTATTTGATTATTTTCGAGTACTCTGCATAGAACGAATGTTCCTTGTCAAATGGTTTTGTGGATGTATTCCACACTCGGTTCCTTGGGAGCAAGGAACATATTTCAGCTCTGCTTACTAGCTTGATTAACGCTCAATTCAAGGTGCTAAAACCTCAGCATCTACAAAATTAAGCTTTTATTCCAACATCAGAATGTTCTCAGTCATGTGCCAATTACTGAAGTGTATCTTGCAATCATTCACCGAAGTTTGGAGAAGCAAACCAGCTCAACATGTTCTGTTAAAAAGAGGAATTTACCCAAAAAAACCCACAATTTCTGTCCCTAGGAGACCTCCAAATGGTCAACAGGACCATGGTTGGTATTTCCTCGGCCAAGGCTGGAGTGAAGCAAGTTTTAGAAAGTGTGTGAAATACGCCTTCAGCTCAGGCGGCTCTGCAAACAAAAGTGCTTCTGTCGCTGCACATCCACCACAGCAGGGTTTTGGGTACTTTGGGGGGGTTCTTTTTGGTTATTGGCATTTAAAAAGAAGACACGAAAACATAAAAAAGAGATTCCCACTGCAACAAGAGCATTTATGAATTATGGCCCAAAAGCAAAGAAAGAAACACGAACACCACTTTTTCTTCAGCAACAGAGTCAACTCCAAGGCAAATAGCCAACTATCAATTCAGCACGAGTATCTTGACTCAACACAAAGCAACAATCATCAATAAAATGATGTCTTTCTGGATGCAACCCACAGCTCAAGAGTTTTTAGTCAAGGATCATGTCCTACCATCCATGACCTCTTCTCCAACACGCTAGGATTTCAAGCTGTTGTTTTCTACCTCTCCACATGTGATGAACCGTTGCATCACAAAAACAAAGTTCAAGACTAAACTAATAATTTCGGTTGTACTGATGAATTCTGCCAGCCAAGGAGATGTGCAATTAGGCAGTCAAAGCGTGCACTGCAATGCAACACAAAGCACACAAAAAAATAAGTTGTCTGCAACTTCCCTTGCTCCTCAGACAAAAAACCATAGACTTGAGAGCTGGCATTTAAAAAACAGAAAGAAAAGGAAGAAAAGCATGTATTTTGAGAGGTACCTGTTCTGAGCAATTAGCTGGCCACTTTAAGTGCTTCTCCTTCTCATTTCGCCGATCATTTCAGGTTCAGTGATTTTCTAATGGCCAAAAGAATTAACAGCTACTACTACTATGCAGAAAGTGGGTTTAAAACCGCACTGGTAACTTTAACCCACACAAATAGAATTACACAGGAGAAGCCATCCATTTAACACCGATCTGCAGCACTAATACAAACAGTTCAATTAATGCTCATCCCCTCAGAATTACAAGTACCGCACAATAAAGAGAAGTGACAAAGTTACATACAGGGTCGTGTAGGACGAATATCAGCAAGGTGCATCACGACAAACCTCACCTTCCCAGTCAGCAAAGCACGAATGTCCCAGGAATGTCTTCACAGGTTTAAAAATACTCTCGGATTGCATGTGTCTCTCCCCAAGGCTCAGCCCTGCACACTCGTGAAACGAGCACACTTGCACTGGCCACACGTGCAGCGAACGTGCAAGTGCTGGACTGATTCAAGGAGCTCCTCCTCGCCTGGTACTTGGTCTCAGATACACTAGAGGTTAAAATACTTCAGTGTAGGGTACGGGAACCTCAGAAACAGGCAATTCCATAATAACCTGCCCACACAGGGAGGCTTCTCCCTAACTGCAAGCAGTTGTGCTCAGCTATGCCCTGCAGCATGAAGATCTGTATCTGTATTAAAACCTGTTTATCTACAGTGCAACAATAGATATATTTATTTTTTATAGGCTAATCTAACCTATTTTTTATAGGCTATATCTAAGCGCCAATTAAAACCGTGCTCATTCTCAACAGTATCTTTAGAAATCAAGTTTCACAAGCTAATTATGCTTTCTGTGCTGAAGCAACAATCCAACTTGAGGACACAGACCTTGCTGAGCACTCTTATGAGTTATTCATCTTTTCCTACTCTCTAGTGCTCATAAAAACAGGCCCCTGGACAGCAAATTCTTCATGTCTTAACAAGGACAACAGCTACAATTTCCAAGGCATCCCGTGTTTAGAAAATTAACCAAATGACAAAAACAGAAGGCAGTGTTTGGACTTTGAAAAAAATGAAGGTATAGTCTAATACCAGCTTTGCAAACACAGATAACGAAAAGCGGCCGAGCAACCCTGCAGCAGATGCAAAGAACTCTGAAACGAAAGGGCATGTTGAACACATCTTCTTCAAACAGGCATTCGTTTCAGAGTCCTTTCTGTACATCTACTTTGCCCTAGCCAAGAAAGCCTGAAGTAGGAACTGCTGATAGAAAAGCCCACACAGGTATCTCCACATGAAAGCAACAACTTGCACGCTTCTTGAGAAATGATACAGAAAGTCTGGGTCAACGCAATTCCAACATGGCTTACTAAAAGATGGGTATGATTGTGTAACAAGTATTTTCAGGAGTATTTTAGCTGCATGAGGGAGCTAAGAATTCCCACCAATGTTTGCATTGTTACAGGAAAAACACAATTCTGAAGACAGACTTTGCAATAGTATGTTATTTACCCAGAAATGCAAGTGGAAGTCATCACTTACTGTAGAATTTTGTCATTTGCTCATAGTTTTTCCTCTATACAAACTCAGACGGAACACTTCTGCTTCTCTTTCGTATTCCCTCCTGTCCCCTCTCTATCAGCATCATATTTGATTTTAACTTCCCTTCCTACAGGCTCACATTTGTGGGAAAGTTTGTCTTTAAAAGTCACTTTACTTACCTTGTCTCTGGATTATAGCCCAGGATGTAGAAAAATGAATCCACTCGGGCTTTAAACTCTCTAGCAGCAAATATGTCAGAGAAATGGGAGATATTACACTTCCCTCTGAAAGAAAAAGAGAAAATGGTATTAGAATTCTATCTTGGATAACAGCTATTTTAATCAAAAGCCACTGTATTTTGGGTAAAGCCACTCGGCATCCTTGCACTCTCACAAACATCTAAAGCTGCACAAATAGCAGCCTGTGACACAAACTTCCACACAGATTCTTCCTGTAGCGGCATCAGGAGAACATGCAGCTACAGTGAAGGTCTCAGATAGCAGGCTACAAACACGTATTGATTTGCATTCAATCAGCATAAAACCCTGCGGAGCTCCAAATCAGGCAGATACACTAACAAGCAATCCTTAAAATATCTTATTTTCAGATTTTTTATGGTCCTTTTCCCATTTTGCTTTTTGCTTTTCCATTTTCCTTTTTTTTTGCTACTTGTTTGCTAATACTCATGTTTACCCTTGTCGCATGGATGTCGCATGATCATTAAAAAAAAAGAAAGAAAAAAAAAAGAGAGGAACATTTGTTCTGTTACTTCACATGATATTCCCCTTTTAAAATATTCTAAGGGGGAAATAATCCAGATCCTTTTCAGCAATTCATCTGGCAGTTGTTAACAAATACTGACTAGATTAGGTTGTATTATTTAGATTGACAAAAACAATACATCTTATTCACAGCACTTCAGCCAAGCAGTACTTCATTTGCTATTAGGAAGCTCTAAAATATGCGGTAAAAAGGCCACAACTCAAAACCCCTTTCTATAAGGATCTTCCATTTAACTTTTTTCATCGATTAGAGCAGAAGTTTCAAAGTTACAATCACTGGTTTTGTTTCCTGTTTCTCCAGAACCATTTATGAACAAAGGGCATCGCAATAATCTGATTTAATAATAAGTTATAATAGGGCATATTAATAAGGCATAATAATAATAATAATGTTAGCCCTCTTTTCAGATATCCCAAGGCATCTTTGCCTACTCTACAGTCTCAAGCAAACTCTAAGAACCCCACAGGCTTCATCTATTGCATACTGACAATTACCAGCAGCCACTAAACACCAGTACTCAGAAAGTAATTCAGCAAAGAGAATATATCCTAATATATTCTCATCTTCACCTTCAAAAAGTACATTCTCCAATTACCAGCATTTGTAAGGATCATCTACAAGACATTATCCTAGAAGGATAAGGACAGTAAAACTGGAGCCCAACAAGCTGAAGTCTGAGCAAAATGAAGCCGCCGTGAGCTGCACTGCCGAACAGAAATGACAGAGAAAAGACTGAGAAAACGATCCAGCTGCCTCGACTCCTTCCAGAAAAGGAAGAGAAGAATGTTTTTTTTCACTCTGCTTGGTACGTGCACATGTTTTATGTTCTCTTCAAGTAAGAGACCAGCAAAGATGCAGAAGAGTTCCAACATTCCCAGGGAAAATTCCATACAAGTGGTTCAGTTTCTCCGTGTTTAAGCTGACAGCTACATTTCCAGACTGATTCCATCACCACAGCCAACCTGCTGTTAAGTTTGTTATCTGCTTCCTCACAGAGTCCATTCAACATCAGAAACTCGGAAAAGGCGGCATGGAATTTTACAAGGTAACACTACACCACTAAACTCCTCCAAGTTTAATCAAAAACTCCCTAAAACAGGCTAAGAAATAAAAATTTCCACTATTTCTTGTTCTTGCAACAAGAATCTGCAGCTAGTTTTTCTTGCGTAAGTGGCTTCAGCCAAGTGACTCTTCAAGTATCTCCAGATGGTCCTCCTGAAATCCCATCTGAGCATTATCATCAGGGAGATTATCCAGTTGCCACCTGGATCATACCCATGGATGCTTTGGTATGTGCTCAAAAATAATACCTCACTTTTCTACTTGAAAATATTTCTAAGCAATATGACCTTCAACCTGGTCACAGAGGACCACCTAAATTAAGAACGTGGTGGGTACAGAGAGCATCGATCCCCCAGGAAAGCGCAGAGAGCACAGGGACAAATACAGGGCTCTGTTACTCCCCAATTTGTACAGCTATTTTTTAAATGGTGCTTGGAACTGAGCTTCAATGACAACAAGTATCTTGAAACAAAAGTTTTTAATGTCATTTATCAGGGCAGTAGTCACTTTGCAAAGAAACATTTTTGTTACTGGTGAAATCGGGCACAGGGGTGGCGAGGAGAAGGTTTTTGCAGGCCGCAGCAATAATCTAAATTGGCAATGATGGGCAACAATATCTTCTGAGCACCACTGATTAGCTGGGATTAAGATGAGGTTTTAGAATTACAGCTCCTTTTTGAAGGCGAACCGATAACACAAGTTAATTACCGCGCAGCCAAGGAGGCAGCCGAGCAGGATGCTAATGAACCCTGCACGAACGAGCCAGAAGGGGCTCATCTCTCGGAGGGGTTTTGCTGGCCCGTCTCCAGGCTCTGCATCAGGGCCCCTCGACTCACCTGAGGGCAGCAGCGTGGTAGGTATCGACATAGTCTGAAATGAAGAGCTCGCGGTTCTTGATGACCGGGTCCGTGATCACGAGCTCTCGTCCAGAGTCTGCCAGAGCAAAACACACACAGCAGCACGTGAGCTGCACTGCGAGAGCAGCTGCCTTGCCTATTGTGCAGGTATTTTACGTATCAAAGTCTGAGCATGTTTTAGATATCTATTTCCCTACGTTAACACTACACAAATGTGAGCACTGAACTTTATTAATGAGGGTTTTCCATGGCACAGGATGCAACAGCGTCTAAGCACTTAATGCATTAAGGATTTACAGTGCCTGGAAGGTACAGGGATAGCCTGAGCTCCCTTTTCCACCGTGTCATACAGGAATTTTTCTCCTTTGCCACATCTGAAGGGCTGTGTTACTAAGAAAGCCTCTCTAGAGGCACAGCTAACAGCACCTTGCGTGCCCAAGGGTGTCCTTTGAGCCCTCGGGGCCACCTCCAACGCACACCCGCAGCACTCCCTGCACTTCTGACCAGCAGATTTACAACTTCCTGCTCTTATTTGTCTTCCTTGACGGTCAGCTTCTCTTCCAGGACTATTTCACACCGATCATTTTTCCTCTCCTCAGCTTTCCTGAGGATACTGACCACTAAAGTTCCCTCCCACCCAAAAGCAATCAACTTATTTGCTGACTTTCAGGTTCTGCATGGTGTGCGCTTTAATTAAGCGTATTTAATCCCACACTCCCAACACACCTCGATGCTGCTATCTGCTCAGTTCCGATTTTTCCGAACTGGTAAAATGTGCAAGTGGGAGGCCAAGCGGGGCCTCACTCACCGTTCTCGTTGTGCCTGTCCTGCACCAGGTGCTGATAGACCGAATCCGGGACCTCGGACTGGCGATAGTACCACTTGACGTTCATGAGGAGATGGTCCCGCTTGCTCTGAAAAACAAGGTCTAGAGGCATTACTAAAAAGGGAACCGGGGCGCAGGCGCCACAAGCTTCCCAAGCACGGGATTCTTTTTCACAGGGAAGAAAAGCAGAGGTGAGACCCGAAAGGGAGGTGAGGACACGAAACACGTGAGGTGCTGATGGCAGGATGACTTTCAAGGCAGGAAGGCAACAAGGAGCAGGTGTATTTTCATGCAGCTCTATCTCTACATGTGACCTGCAAAAACTACCATGCTCATTCACAAAAACCTTTATCAAGAAAGAGGGCAGGGATCAGCAAAGGACAGCAATCATCAGCCTCATACAACTGCCTCTTGGGCATTTAATTTCCACAAACAGAACAATTTTGGCCAAATACAAAAGGAAAAAGAAAAGACAAAAAAAAAGGATAAACTTATAAACCAAAGCATAAACTCAATGCAACAGTAACGGGTGTAAACCAGCAGATCCCAGGTTCTTCCCTGAAGACAGATGGTTGCAGACACAACACGGAAGGCTCCTTATTACTTATTTCACACAAAGGAAGAGGGTATTGCATCTTCACCCCAGTAACCGCAGCCCCGGATTGCTCGTGTGCTCACATAAGGCAAACCGAGGTTTACAGCAACCCGTAGGCAGTGCAGGTGGGCGTGCAAAGCCCTCCAAAGCAGGGTGGATCAGGTTATTGCACAGAGCCTCTCGGAAGCCCTTAGCAGTTGGTATTAAGAGAAGCGGGGAAGGCCTGGTGGGAAGGGAACATTCCTGAGGGATGAGGCAGCTCCGAGCGCCGCTTGGGATTCGCACCACGGGCCCCCCGCTGCTTCTGAGGCCGTGCCATTTGAAAGTTAAGTCACACCTAACTTGGCTACCAGCCTAACTAGCAGAGCAGCAGCTCCCCTTCTAATCCAAGGCACACAGAACCTTCCATTAAATGTGTTTCCTGAAGCTGCTGATTAAAACCACGTGTAATACTGCAGGAAAACGGCTAGCGGCAGCATTGTGCCAAGAACGGCTGAGCTCGGCACGCTCCTCTGCCCACGCTGGGCGCCTGCAAGAGCATTCACCTCCATACAGACATCTCTGGGCTCTGTAGGAGGAACCTGCATTCAAGTTTGGGAGGGACAAATACTGTAACAGGCACATGGAATGAACAGGCAGCGCCCGGGATTTCCACTGCCAGCTGCACCCGGAAAAGCAGCCCCCGACTGGCACCCTGGAACAACCGTCTGTCCCTTGGCCTTCGTGAATCATCTCGCTGAATACTGAGGAGGGAAAAATGCTTGGGGGCCTCGACGTTTGCCTGCTGCCTCGCTTCCCCAGCGCGGTGTGAGGTTAACCCACACAAGTATTTCCCTGCCAATTCCCTTGCAATTTTCCCAGGGAGGCTCTCCCTGGCTTACAGGGTCCTGGGAGCACCAAGGAGCAGTTCCTGGGACACTCACACCCCTTGCGCACGCGTATACATACATACAAATATATATAAAACATCCTATCTATACATGGGTGAGTAACAGGGTCTCACATGAGAGCGTATTAGGAATATTAATGCTTTTAATTGCTCTGGAAGGGCCAAGTACTCCCCATTCTGCAGTATTCTACTACCTTGCCATTCCAAAAACACTTACTATTTAGGAAGACACAACATCTATACTTAGGCTGGGACTTTTTACTAGCTGAAGCATTTTATTTCGGCAGGGACACGCTCCTCTGCTGCGCTGAGAATTTGGTCTCGGACTCGCGTGATGCTCAAGGCTGTGGATCCCGAACCATGGGTGCCGCTCTCCACACACCCTCCAAACACCCCATGTGGCTCTCTGGCTGCTTCCTGTCTTTGGGGCAGTGCAACGTGGCCCAACTTCACACCTCTCCACACCGTTTACACCAGCTGCGTCAGTTACCTGCTGCAGATGAGCGCCCCAAAATGATGCACCTGAAAACACACTGTCCTGCGGCGATGCTGCAGCTTGTGCTCTGCAGGGATCTGCTCCTATTCTCCCATAAACATTACCCGAGGTTGTTTTTAACTTGGAATTTCCATCTGCCTAAGAAAGGGTCTGTCATCATCTGTCAATTCGTATTTTCCTCCTTTCTGCACAGGAATCCCTTGACATGTTGTTTTGTCAGCCAACCTCCTCAATACGTGCCCATCATTTAGAGGGCAGAGCCTGTGCCGAGATGTCAGACACCCCAAATAAAACCCAAAAAGCAGAACACCCCCACCCCCACCCACACACGCAGCCAGACAAAAGAACAAGTGTCCCCGGTTAATGAAGTGCTGCATTTTCACACCTTTCTGTCTGGAAGCTGCAGATCTTCACACGTTGGATGCCGCCTTTGAGGAATCCCAGAAAGGGCGAGTGCTTTGAAGCGCCTCTGGGGCTCCCAAAGCCTCCCCTGCTGCAAAGCCCCATCCTCCTCTGTAAAGGAAACCCTGCCCGCTGCTGCAATGCTCCCAAAGCCCTTGTTATTCGGGCCTGGTGCTTCCCCTCTTCAACCAGGAAGCTATTTGAGACATCCAAGAATCAGACAAAATCCATAACGGCATTAAAGCCTTGTAGCCCACACAGTCCCCCATCCAACCAGGGGCCTCTCCAAAGCAGGAGGAGGAGGACGGGGTAGGTGCTGTGGCCTCTTACACCCTCCAAGGGGTACAAAAGCTCCTGCCCGTGACAATTTGTACCGTGAGAGGTTTTCACCTTCTCCTCAGCGCATCAGATCCAAGGTCCAGAGCACAGATGTGCTGCGGATTCTCCCCAGGGCTCTGCGCAGGCTCCCTCCCTCTGTGCCCTATTTAGGCGGCCTGTTAAACCAGGCCTAGCCCCGGGAGCACCAGAGCCACCGTGGGGGTGACAGATGGGCAACACGGCAGTCGGCGTCGAGCCACTTCAAAGACAAACTCAAAACAGCAAAAGGGAAAAGGAAGGCTTTTACTTGCAAATATGCTTCCAACACGGATTTTTCTTTTTTGTCTGCTGGAAAATAAAGCCAGGTGATTAATTCTAGGCTAACAGATTTCTTTGTGTTATTTTAACGGTATGTTAAATATTTAAACAGTCTTTGTGCCGCTCAAAATAAATGCCTTATACGTTGCCACACAGAAGGACTGGGCCCACAGAGCCAGTCCTCAAGCAGACAGGAGATTTTCTTGTTCCCAGTTACAAATTAACCCGCTCTTCAGGGGCAGAAAACACCTATTCATCCACAAAAGGGGGAAGGCAAAGAAATCAAGAACAGGTTTATTAGATGACCTGAACCAAGAGGTGTGCAGAGGGAAAGAGAATCTAGCAATGAATAAAGCGGGATCTAATGATGCGCTAAAGATCTGTTTTCTTCCCAGTTCTTTGGATACCTTTTCCTAAGCCATTTTCTGAGTGAACAGTAAGAGCAGCTGTTTGTAAGCCTAGAAAATACAGCTCAAAAATAGAGAGGGCATTACTAGCAATAAAGCACGCTGTCCCTGCAGCTTGCTTTAGATGCACGCATATTAACAATACCCAAATTAATTCTCGCAGACACAACACTGTCTAACACGAGAGCTGTCAATAAAAACGTTAAATAAGGCCATTAAATCCAGCTGTTGGCTCCCTCCTGCCCTTGGAAAACAGCAGCCCAAAGGGGGAGCCTCTGGCTCCCGTCCTCTCCCCCTGCGCCAGCCCGCACAAAACCTGCAACCTCTAAACCTGTTAGTGCTATCTAATGCCTACTGCATCTACAAGAGCTTTTCTAATAGAAACACGGCTCGATGGCTTATCTGGGAGCACGAGGCAGTCCACAAAGGCAGCAGCTTGATTGAGCGCGGTAATGGCAGGCAGGAAATGAGAAGCTTGGTTAAGCCACGGATAATCGATCCGTGGATTCAGTGAAGTGGGAGCTGAGCTGGGAATAAGCTGCTTGGGGTATCAAATATTGCTGCATCCAGGGGAAAGGCCTGTTCCTGTGCTCCGTGCAGGAGGGAAAATAATTTATTGACAAAACAACACGGGATTTTTTTCTGCAATGTCTCGTTCTTGGCATTTTGAGACTGTTTATAGCAAAAATCCCTCCTGCGCCTCCACTCTCCACGAGTTTAACAGACGAAACTGCTTTTGGAAGCCACGAAAGCGCTTCAGTATGCTGGAAATTAATGCAGCCTTGTGTACAAACAACTCCGAGACGCCAAACAAATATGTACAGCACTCTGCTTTGCTCCTGAATTCCCTGCTTTGACGCTCACAGCTGCTTCTGTGCAGAAACCCTCCTCTGCCTTAGGGTGTCCCCAGGAGCAGGCAAGCAAGGCAGCCTCCCAGCAAGGCAGCTTTGATGGGATCCCTGGTGTGCTGTGCTCAATCTTGACTGCAGTTTCCACAGGGTTGATGGTGAAACTGTTTACAAACAAAGGCAGAAACGTTACCAGCAAGCAGCAGTGCCCTGCACAAGCGGAGGGGACAAGCAGGCAGCATCTATAACCCCCAGTGACACATCCACGTGGAGCTGTGTGCCAAAGCCAGCACTTTGCTCAAATTCTAGGGCAATTCTAAGCAAAACCCCTCTTTGCAAAAGCCAGTGTTCCAGCCCTGGGCTCGCACCAGACCTGGTTGCTGCTCTGACCATTGCAGGGTGGCCCAGACAGGGGCCAAGCGCCAGGGAAGGAAACACAAGGAACAAATCAAAACGCCACCAAAACCCAACAGTAAACGGTCAGGCCCGCCAGGAGCTGAGCCCAAACACAATAGCTTTTAATAAGAGATCTACCGTGAACCAAATAAAATCCCAGCCAGTCTTTTTTTTTTTTTTACCCTAGATTTGAAAAAGTGCTAGAAAGCAACTGCCAAGCAGCTAAATGCAATATTTAGGCTTCATTGTTTTTAACACGCTGTTACAGAGGGCTAGCTATCTAAAAAGCTTATTCCTTGACAGTGCTTCTCGGAGGCACTGAAATGAATCCTCCAGCTGGAACCAAAGGGCAGGGAGGCAAGTCAAGTCGACGACCTGCTGTTAAATTATTGGCCTAATCTGGACGAAAAGGACGTCGT